GCCGATCGCTCCGGCAGCAGAGTGACATGAGACTGGAAGGGCAGGACTCGCACTCAGAGACGGGAACAGAGACGGCCGAAAGGGTCTCCAGGTGGATGGTCACCTTAAGACCTAAAAATGAGGGCCGACCTGGGCAACAACGACAGGGAAGCAGCACAGGGGTGGCCGAGAAGAGGGCGGAGCGCAAGTCAGGGGAGCCAGGGCAGGGGGTGTGCGGCAGGAGCACACCCTACCTGACATCCACGTCAGGGCGCAGACCCACTCTGGCTCTCAAGCTGCATTAGAATGGTGTGGTTTCTAATAGGCTGACAAGGCCAGCACACTGAAGGCAAGAATTCCCAAGGCACTGGGGTACAGACTATGCACCAGGTGACTCTGGCCTGGGTTTCCAGTGACCAGAGAGGGGGTCGCTGCCTTCCAGGAGCCAACAGCCTCGTGGGTCTGAGAAAATGAGCCCACGTCAGCACCCTCGAGGCCCCACAGGCTGCGACCAGGTCGGTTCTGTTGCATAACCCATGGAAACACCGAGGTCACGGCCCGCGCTAGCTGCCCTGGCAGATACGGGGCTGGGGGAACGGTCAGATGCAGAGGTCCAATCTCACGTCGGGCCTACACAGGTCCAGAACTTAAAACGGCGTGCAGCATGGACTGTGAGGTGACCTCTGGAGGAAGGAAAGGAGGAGGCCTGAGCTGTCCCGGGAGCCTACCTGAGCAGGGGCCAAGTGCAGAAGGTGCCAAAGCAGGCTCAGGCTCAGGAAGTAACAGCAGAGAAACGCGTTCAGGAGGGCAAGCAAGAATCCTTTCAGGCAGGTCCCCCCACCACTGCGAGACATGGTTTCCCGGAGAGAAGGGCGCAACCCAAAGCGGGTGTGCGGAAGAGCAGAGGCGGGGACACGCCTCCGAGGTTCTCGATGGGACTGACCAGTAAGCACAAGGGACTTGACACCTGCTCTTCGCAAACCTTTCCCCAGCCCCAAGGCCACCGACACCCCCCCCACCCCCGCTCCACCCTTCCGCGGCTCACAGGAAGGAGCGGGCACCATCTCCAACTCTCGAGCTCTTCTCCCAGAGCTTGACCTTGTCGTCTCCCCGCCCTGAACGGGGAGCCTCTCCCCTTCTCTTTGCCTGTGGACGCTACCTACGCTTCAAGGCCAGTTCGAGCATCAGCTCCCTGCAAAGCTGTCCCCGGCCGGGCTGGACACTCACTCCTGGGGCCTGTGCCTCTGCAGGGCTTCCCGGGCCTCTCCCCCACCCACGTCTGTTCCTGCTGCTCCTCCTGTTCGCCTGGTGTTCCCCGGGAGCTTCCAGGCCCAAGGCAGGAACTGGTTTTTATTCACTTTTCTACTGCTTCCCTCTACCCTCGGGCCCCAAAACCAGCCGCGTAAAGCTTCCACGAATAAACGACCACAGGTTAAGTTTACTTCCAGGACGGGTGCAATCCACTCAACTTTCCACGTACTCTGCAGTAAGAATGGACACGCCTGCACCTGGGAAGTGCCCGAATTGAGTAGCAGGTCAACAGTTCTTTCTCTTTTAGTTTTTAAGGTTTTTGCCACAGGGCACTTGCCGGAGACAGACCGTGAGAGGAAAAGTGAGAAACTACCCCCCAGGTGGATGGCCACACCGCATCCCTTCTCCTTCAGTCTCCTCGAGAGATTGTGGGCACAAACGAAAGTGCTCGGCATTATCTTCAAGTTGCCAGGTCTGGGACTTGAACTGCGATCTGTCATGTAGGAATCCAGGGCCTTAACGACCATGTCACCTGCTGGCCCCATAACAGTTTTCTTTGCAAAAGCATCCTAGCCAAACACTCGATCTTTGGGTGGTTCAGTAAACAGATGGGAGGCAGTGAAGGGAAGTCTTCGGAGCTCCTCATCTGTGCTCGCCATGTCTAAAACTGGCCACCGGGCAGCTCCCGTGCCCTGCTCTGCCTGGGCAGTGTAACGAGCTCCCAGCTCAGACTGCCCCTGCCCTGAGGAGATCACACCCCATCTATACCCTTGCTACCATGGCTGCGCACTGTCTCCAAAACAAAAACATTTTTCCATTTAGTTTCACTTTCTATATGACAGAAGTCTAGATGAGCAGTATTTCCTGTGAATAAAAATGTCATGAAAGCCCTTCGATTTTAATAAGGTGTGATTAAATCTGAGCCTCCAATCTGCATTACTGGTCTAGAAAAGTAAAAATTAGTACAACTTCTGAGTTCTAGTATGTTTTAAAGTAATGCATCTTACTGAAAAAAAAATGCAGAACTCAGAATGGTAAAAACTGAATAGGGTGAGAACAATTTCTGTGCACAAGATATGCAAATGGAAGGACTGAAGCAGACACTCAAGTATCCTGCCAGGAGAGCCTGCAAGGCACAGGCACTGCGAACAGCCCGCGTGAGCTGACGGACACACCGCTTTGTACCTGTCCTGCGGACCTCAGGTCCTCTTCCTCAGGGCCACTTCTGTGAAATGGGGAAGTCACCTGTCTTCCTCACAGGGACGGTTACACGGATACTCAGAAAACATCATTAATATGTATTTGGTGTTCTTTAAAAAGGAAACTCCCCTCATCAGTATGCTTTCATCACCACTTGTACAGTACACTCCCCATCAGGAATCCAATTCCAGGAGAAATATTTAAGCAGACGTTGAAGACAGATTTCCTTAAGGGAATGATTTTATAAATCTGGAAAGCAATGTAATAAGATTATAAATTAACATGTTGATTACATAAGTCTTGACAACGCAGGCTTTAAAGTACACTGATCTGTGTCCTGGTAAGTTGCAGGCCGGTTTGGGACATGGTGCCGGCCCCTCCAGGGAACCCAAACGGAGGCGCCCGGCCTTCAGCAGGCGCGGGGCGACGCCGCAGGGCCCGGCCGCCCGCTGGGCAGCCCCGGAGCCCTGACCCTGACCCTGACCCTGACCCTGACGGACGGCTGCCCTGCTCCGGCTCCACGCACCAGGGTCAACGCTGGGGAAGTAACTCGGCGGATGAAGAAGGGCCCCGTCCTGGGGGCGGCAGACCTAAGACCCTCACTGCTAAACGCTCCCCACCCTGGGCCGGAACCGAACTCCTAAGCCTGCGGGAGCGGGTCTGACCCAGGTCAGGACTAGCCCAGCACAGGGCCGCCACTGTCCTGGATGGCGAGTCCGAGCCGGGGCGGGGGCGTCCGGGCGGTGGTCCAGGAGGAGCAACAGGCGCGGCTGCGGGAGAGGACGCAGCTGCGCCCCGGGGACCCGCGCCCTCCCTGGGGGCCGGCGCCGCTGCCCTCCCCGACGTCCT